CTCAGGTGTGCAAGAGAACCATCTTGTCTGCATGGTCACAGGAGACCAGGGAGGCCCTAATATAGAAGGATTGGTCAGAGGACGGCGGGTGAATCAAATTCTTGTGAGATCTGTCTGACTCTGAGACACACTTATCTGCAAACCTAAGCAAAGTAAGATTTAAGCTAAGCTGAGACCTTCAGGCTTTGAGGAAAGGGTGATGCAAGGACCACCTTGCCGGTGGTCAGTGTCAGGGCTGGCTTTGCTTCTGCTCCTCCTCCTCATCAGCAGATGCAGTGAGCTTGCCAAGGCCCTCCCGGGGCCTGATTTTCAACAGCCTCCCAAGGACTCTTAGTTACCCACTTAGAAGACTTCAAATGTTTCTTAAAAAAAGTTTATTTCCCTCATTTTTTTTTTTTTGAGGCACTGATTTACAGTACTGTTTATGATCAGTTCATGTATGTGTAATTTTTATACGAAATGTTTATTTCTCGTCATGGCCTTTCTCTACTTGTCAGGAACTCTGGAAGGTTTAGGATTTTTTAGCAAACTGTCCCATGAATGCTAACAGAATATTCAGACACCTGGGTGAGAGCGGGAAGGTTTAATGGCATAATTAGCAATCCAGACCTGTGTAGTTGTGGCATAGTAGGGTTTCTCATGGGTGACCCAATCACAATTCCTGGGCACATGAACTTGTTAGTTAACAAATAGGGAAAAAATCTCACTTTGGGCCTGGCTGTTGTTGTAGGAAGCAGAAATGAGCCTGCTTTTTCTCCCTGGGAGGTACGACAGTTTCCCCAAGAGTAGCTTGCTGCAGACACTTTTGAGTGGTGGTCTGGGTCAAGATCAGCTAGTCCTTGATTTCTTGGCGGTATGCTCTGCAATAAGGTGCGGGCATGGTCAGGGCCCCTGGCAGATCGATCATCTCTCCCGACATTCTCTCCTCTCTCTCTCTCTTTCTTTCTCTCTCTCTCTCTCTCTCTCTCTCTCTCTCTCTCTCTCTCTCTCTCTCTCTCTCTCTCTCTGTTGGGTGGTATTAGCCAAAAGCAAGAATCATCCTTGTCATCATGCCTTTTGATTTTTAGTTCATCACCACATTTTCTCCCACAGTGCTGGGGATGCCACTGAGGGCCTCACACACATAGGACAAGCGCTCAGCCTCTGAGCCACTTCCTGGACCCTCCTCATCCAAGCTCCATCACTTAAATGCTTTACGAATCATCCTCCTGCCTCTCCAGGTTTTATCTTCCATTTGTATTGGACTCAAAAAATTACTCTTCCATGTATTCTTTTCCTTCTCCCTCCCCCCCCCTCCCCCCACACACACACAGTAGCCAAGAATGATGGATTAAAAACAGAGATGTCAGGGCTGGAGAGATAAGTGCCCTACAGTGGAGGGGGGCGGGAGCTTTTCCTGGCTCCTGCACCCCAGAGTGCTCTTGGGACTGATCCCTGAGCACAGAGCCAGGAGTAAGCCCTGACCACCACTGGGTGTGTGGCCTAGAGACCAAAAACCACAAACAAAATAAAACAGATGTAGACTTACTACCTGGCTTATGTAAAAGGTTTTATTGGGTTTCCATTGCTCTTAGCAAGTACTGAAGCCCTAACATCACCAGCATTGCCTGCTTTTATAGACTCATCTTTATAACTTGCTTCCTTGGTCTCTGCCGGGAAGGCATGCGGTCTTTTATGCTGATCTTTCAGTTCCTTGAATATGTTACATGCTCTTCTGCTACTGAACCTTTAAACGGTTTATTGTCTTTCCCTGCCTCTTAATTTAGCTAATGAGTAGTCTTTAGATTTTGTATCTGATACTTTTTATCTTTTCTATTGCTACAAGGCCAGTGAAAGCTCCCGTGACTTTTCTCAGTTATTAGCTATTGATTGGTTGCTGTGTCCCCTCTATTTTTTTTTTCCTCTAAAGTTCCCCTAGCTTCACAGGCAGAATGGTCCTTCTTAAACAGAAAACTTCACATCCCTTCCCAGAACTGCGTCCGAGTGAGCTTGAGGTTGCTTTCCAGGATTATAAGAGCTTTAGCAAAGAGTGTCAGGATATCTACCACCAGCTAGACCTAGGCACTTCGATTATGGCAGGATAAGGCCACCGATGTTTCCCCTGCAGAGACTTGATTTTCTTTCTTTTTAAATTTTTATTAGTGAAACACCATGAGGTACAGTTGTGGACTTAAACAAGTTTCTGTGTTTGGGTTTCAGTTATACTATGATCAAGAACCCATCCCTCCACCAGTGCCCATTCTGAGACATTCTTATGGGAAAACAGCCAATGCATCAAATTTCAGATGAAACGGACATGAGAATTACTAAGTTCAAGTTAGATTTTCAGGGGTGGTCTCCCAAAGAATCACAAGAAGCAGCAGCGGCAGCGGTGGTCTGAGTGTGTGAGCCCCAGACAGGTGTCTGCTCAGAGCCTGGGCAAGTGCAAAGGCTGAGGGAGAGGCAGGCCAGGGACTCCAAGGAACAGCATGGAGGCAGGAGAGAACACAGACGAGAGCAGGAGTGAAATGGAGGCTGTTTTTTGTTTTGTTTTGTCTCGAAGGCGTTTGAACAAGTGTTCTCTTTTACTCAGATCAAGTCTCTGGATGGTATTAGGAATATGATCTGACGAATCATAAAATGCATTTTGTTTCTCCCTTCCACACTGGCTTTCTCTCCACTGGATATGCCCTGTTTATTCTCATCTTGCAGGAACTTGGGTACTTGCTCTTCCCTTCATTTAGAAAATACTTTCCTAGATCCTTGCAGGGCAGCTTCCCCTTCTGCCTCGTAGATGTCAGCTCAGAAGTGCTCTTTCAGAGAGCTTTCCCGTGAGGATCAACCAGGGAAGTGTCAGTGTCCAGGAGAACACTCCACCACAGAATGTGGCACTTTACCTGTTAGGGACAGTAGTTTGGATAAATTCCTGAAATTGAGAGTGTTGAAGGGCTGATTATAAATGTGTCTCTCTCTATCACGGTTATTGGTCACTCCAAGTAAGTTTTCTGCAAGCCCCTGCCTTGTTTGACCTTTATAGTTTCTGCCTCTAGGTAGAAAAGAGAACGTCACACATTAGATTAGATTTAGCCATTTTTATGTAGTCCTTGGCATCTGACTTCTTTTATACAACAGTATGTGTAAGTAGTTACAGATCATTCTCAGTGATTTCTGGTTATACAAAAAATGATGATTTTGGTTAGTTTGAACTTGTATTAGAATAGTACAACTGAGTCCTGAATATTTTGTAAATCTTTAATTCTCTAGATTGATTTTGTGGTGTTTGAAGTTAAATTGAAATCAGGTAGCCTGAGGCTTCTGTCCTTATTCTTTGGTTTTTGGTTTGGCTATGCTAGGTCACTTGCCTTTTTATATTCAAGCTCTTTGCTTTTTTATGTAAATTTTAGGATTAGCTTGTTTATTTTATTTAAAATGTGAGCAGGGGGAGGGGAACACCTGCTGGGATTTTCACTGAGATTATACTAAGTTTCTAGATCTATTTGAGAGAATTTACATTTCCAGTATATGAACATGGAGAGCCATTGAGCTAGTACAGCAGGTAGGGCGCTTGCCTTGCATGTGACTGACCCAGGCTTGATCCTCGTCATCTCATATGGTCCTCTGAGCACTGCCAGGAGTGATTCCTGAACCCAGAGTAACCCCTGAGCATTGCTGGGTGTGGCCCCAAAACAAAAGCAAAAAGTGAACAGACAGACAACTAATTTATGAACGTGGTATGTCTTTCCATTTGTGTGGGATTTCATTCTTAAATTTATTTTTTCTAATTTTCGGGAGATAACTTATATATATTTTATTTAGATTTTATTTAAGTAGTTTTGTGCTTTTTGGTACAATTTTTAAAAAATTAAAATATCAGCTCCTATGTGTTCCTTATTGATAAGTAGAAAGCATTGAACTTGGTATCTTATAGTCTGTGAATTTATTTAAATTTCTGTTGCTTTCTTTAAAGGTAAAAAGGTAAAGGCCCTCCCGTTGATCGTCAATTTGCTCGAGCGGGCCCAGTAACGTCTCCATTGGAGACTTTGTTGTTACTGTGTCTGGCATATCAAATACTCTCGGTAGCTTGCCGGGCTCTCCGAGAGGGGCAGAGGAATCGAACTCGGGTCGGCCATGTTGGCCGCGTGTAAGGCGAACGCCCTACCGCTGTGCTATCGCTCTAGCCCGTTGCTTTCTTTAAAAAAAAAACAAACTCCTCTAATAGTCTATATAGTAATCAGATCAACTGTAATGGTGTTTATACCTCCCTTTACCATTCTGTCTTGTGTTACCTAGGACCTTCATGTTTGATGTTGAGTCGTAACAGTGAGAATGCACATCTTTGCCTTATTCTCTATAGTCAGAACAAAATTGCCAGTCTTTTACCCATGAAGTGTGATAACACCTGAATTTTTGCAGCTGTTCTTCTTCAGGTTGAAGAAATTTCTTCCTCTCCCTAATTTACTGTATTCTCTTTAAAGATCATGAAGACATGTCAGATTTTGTTTTTTTGTACGTCTGTTGGGGGAAAAAAATCACCTGTTCTGTTGATATAATGATAATGTTGGTATAGTATATTGTATTTTTTAAGTCTTTATTAAGCATCAAATAACTAATCGGTCCTTTGGCTATCACCATTAAATCCCATGCCTATTTGTTTCCTTATTTACTTATTAGAATATCTATTTTCCATGTCCCGTTCAACCACTGATATACTGTATAGTCTACTTATTTATTTGTGTGTGTATTTTAATTATTTATTTGTCTTTAGCTCCAGTGGAATATAAGTTCCATGTTTTGTTCTCTGCTGTATCTATTTACAGTCCCTAAAATAAAATAGGATGCTAAAGTATGTTTTGCATGAGTGAATATCTGCTTTTAAGAAATTCACAGTCTGAGAGGGAAGAAATAAGTACACAAATAAAAGGTCATACATCCCAGAAAACTGGAAACAAAATTCTTTTGGTGTCTACAATGGTAAAGATTAAATTCATATGCAGGTTTCTTTTTCTTTTTTTTCCTATCAGATCCGAAAGAAGATTCAGGTAGGAAAAATTCATTTTCTGACTCAGAGAATAAGAAGAATTCAATAAAAATGTGGTTTAGTCCCCGAAGCAAGAAGGTCAGATACGTTGTGAGTAAAGTTTCGGTGCAAACCCGGCCGCAGATAGTAAATAATGAAAATGATCAGGAGGCCTCCATGTATGAATTTGTTTCTGCAACTCCTCCAACAGTTCCTGAGAAGCCTAAAAGGACTGCGACAAGATCCGGGAGAAAGAAAAAGAAGAAAACGTTAGCGGAAATCAACCAGAAATGGAATTTAGCGGCCGGAAGCGAAGGTGTTGAACGGGACTCGGAGGAGGTGAAGGGAAGGCTGGTCTCCTTCTGCAGCCAGCCTTCGGTCATCGCCAGTCCGCAGATCAACGGGGGCAGAGATTTAGAAGCCAGCGCTTCGGACACAGCATCTCAATTTTGTGCAAGCCCGCCCGACGTCTCTTTACCGTTGGCCGAGCATACAGTGTCTCCGGAGACTGTGAGTAGAAATGAAGTCGGGACTCCGGAGACTGAGAGTAGGAATGAAGTCGGGACTCCGGAGACTGAGAGTAGGAATGAAGTCGGGACTCTGGAGACTGAGAGTAGGAATGAAGTTGGGACTCCAGATACTGAGAGGAGGCACGAAGTCGGGACTCCAGAGACCAAGAGTAGGAATGAAGTCAGCACTCCGAAGGAGATTCTCTGTGAAGACAATCCCACCCCCAAGAATTCCTTCGCTTCCTGCCTTAATGGGAAGCGAGACCGTCACAACAGACTCTCAGCGCCCCTTCCAAAGAGATGTCGCCACACCCTTCCCGGCCCCCTCGGGGACTCGGCCGCGTCAGCAGTGGTCTCAGAAAACGGGCCGTTGCCCGGTTGTTCTCCATCACCCTCGAGTGTCTCGAAAGGCGGCGGCACGTCAAGGAGGAAAAGCAGTAACGTGTTGGATGAGTCCTTTAGGTTTTCACCCGGCACGCCACCGCCCTCTGCGCTCAACAGCTCAAGCTACAGGCGAATGTTGTCCAGCCCCTCAGCCAGGAGGCTGACACCGGGTGGCCAGGCGGCCGTGAAGAGGAATCACAGGGGGGAGACTCTGCTCCATCTGGCTTCGATTAAGGTAGGGCCACCAAACCCTGAAAGACAGTTTTCCCTAGAGGCCAAATGTAAGAATCATTTTGTTGGTACTGAGATCCTGTAGCTTACTCTCTATCCGATAACTTTCGGACCAAGAGACAAAATTCAGAGGGACTGCACCCCACTTGCCTCCCCCCGGAGAGCAGTGGGCCTCGACCCTGGGGAGGGAGAGATTGTCACTTCCTCTGAGCTGCTGCCACTTCGCCGAGTAACTTGTTGTGGTCCGTTTCACCAAGGTAGTGTTCGTTCCACCCTTCTGTTGGCCTGCTCTTTCCATTCTTTGTGTCTGTGGATAGATAGTGGGCCCCATTTCTTCCGAGAGCCTGGCACTGCCAGGGGTAGAGGGCTGAGGAATGTGGTCTCTGTATTTCTCCAGTGACTTGGAAGTCTGACTGCTGGAGAGGGTTTCCATAACTCACAGCCCATGGGCTTCTTAGGGCCTCACAGCCGACCCTTCCTTTTACTAGCCGGTTCTTGTGTTGTTCAACCTTGGAATGGGAGCTGGCCCCATTCACGTACTGGAGAGGGGCCCGTTGTGAGCGTGTGGTGTGCTTGGATGACTAGTCTTCGAAGCGGACACACTGGTTGGAGGCAGTCGGCACCCTGGCTTCTTGCAAGTGTGAGGATGCTACGCGGAAGTGTAAGTTAGGGTACTGTGAATGACCTTTCAGTTCATTCACAGGGGAGTCTTTGATCATTTTGCATAGACAGTGAGTTTTGGAGCATGAGTGGAGTGGTGAACAGCATACACCTTGGAAGAATATGGAGTGGATTCTAAGGCTAAGGGATTTCTGTGTTTTTGTGGGGCAAAAGGGAAAGACAGAAAAGAGGTTTTCTCCCAGCTCTAAGAGCTTGATTTTTTTTTTTCTTTTTCTCTTGGTAAATGACAAGTATACGGTACATCTGATGCCAATGATGGAGGAACTAATAGCATGACTATGTACTAGGAATTACATAGCCATTTGGCAAAGGATAACGTAAAAATCAAACCGTGTCTGTGGTCATCTATGTATGTCTAACGTGTATGTTTATTATATATCTATATATTACAAATTCGTGCTTTATATTACTGTAATTTTAGTATTCACTTACCATTTTAAATACTGCATAAGCTTCAGTAATAAACTTAGTTAAGTTTTTTTGTATCTTTTTAAAACTAATACATAAGAATTTATGTATTCTTTAATTTAAGGTTGCTTTAGTTTTTTTTTTGTTGTTGTTGTTTTGTTTTGTTTTGGAATCATACTCAGCAATGCTCAGAGGTTATACCTGTCTCTGCTCCAGGGACCATATGGGATGCTGGGTATCAAACCTGGGTCAGCCATGTGTAAGGCTAGCACCTTACCCATTGTACTATCGATCCAGCCCCAGCTTTAGTTTCTACCTCTTGCTTTCTGGGAATTATTTTCAGACCATAGCTGAGCATCCAGTTAGGATGGCTAAAGATTTTTTCCTTAAGAATAATTTCTTTCTGTTAATGAGTTTCTCTAAGATCTAGGGCAAAGGTCATGATTTGGCAAATTCTTACCTAAAGTAGAGTAAATATTTTCGGTTTTATAGGTCATCTAGTCTCTAACAACTGTTCAGCTCTGCCATTTTAATGCAAAAGAAGCCAAAGACAATATGAAAACTGTAAATACAGCTTTACATTTAAAAATCAGGAGTCTCGCCCATAGGCCATTTACTTTTCTTGGACTAGGCTCTTGGGAGACTAGCAGGGTTTGTCTGAAGACAGATTCCTGGTGCTATGAGGCTGTATTGGTGAGTTTTTTCATTCATACAATCAAGATGACTTCATTTAAGCTTTGTCAGATTGTCATTTCACTTTGAGTCTGGCCAGCATTAGAATTATCCATTTTATTCCTTTTAACTTATCCATTACTGTTACTGCCATTAGTTGGCAGATTTTGCCACAGTGCATTTAAGAAAAGTTAGGCATTCCTATTGTTTATAGAGTCATTATTAGACAGGTGTTCTCTCCTAGAAAATTGTTGAGTTGAATATGTGCTCCCATCCCAGCTTGATTTTAATGATCAGGACAAATGCTCAAGAAAAAACAGAATCAATGGAATTATCAGTGTATTTATCTTTCTGTAAGCAGCATTTTATTTTGTGTCCTAATTTTTTTTTTCATTTGCAGCTGAGAATGAATAGTCTGCATGTCCTAGAAAACCAAATAATGTAATTCTGCCATCTTATTAATAGCTTTGCGCTCACCATCTACTTCAGGAAAGGATTGAGGTTGAACCTACTATGAAACAGAGCAAGGAGAGTAAGAAAGAGGAAGAAGTTACTGTGGCTGAATAATGAATATAGATCTCATGACCTTTTAGGTAGCCAAAGCAAATACCAGAAGTACCTAGTTTTGCTGTCAACAGTCGAGTTTTGCCAGTGTTGTAGTTTTCATTTCTGCTACAGCATGGTGGGGAGATTTGCCGTTTCCGCACTGCCATTGTTTGTTTGATTTTAAGAGCACTTAAAATTGAGTGTTTTATTGCAGTATGTGTGCTTGGTGTATCTGCACTCGGGGCCCAGAACTCTGGGCTCTAATGCTTGTTTTTGGGCTTGCTGCAGTGCTGGTTATACCGAACGTCTTCTGACCACGGTGACCTTACCCACAGCATTCTGGGATTTTTTTGTTAGCCTTCTGCTTTCTGTAGCAATCACCTTTGTGGAAGTTACTTTTTTTGTTTTATTCTGGCCCATTTGTATTTGCTCTCCTAACAAATGACCATAGTTTAGTGACTCGTAATAAGGCAAATTAATTCTCTCTCGAGTTTTGTAGGTCAGGAATCTGGTATTGGTCTCACCAGACCCGTCATTTTGTCTGCTGCGTTTCTTTCCAGAGACTTGCAGGAGAGAGACGATTTCCTGGGTTATTTGGATTGTTGGCAGGAATGGCCCATGTTCCTTAAGATCTTCTTCCCAGGCTATCTTTCAGCTGAGAGTTATGCTCCAATTGTAGAGACAGGCTCACTCGTTTGTGACTCCCTTTTGTTCACCAAAGCCAGGAAACAGACCGTGGGGACCAAGCTAAGTAGGATTCGTGGCTTTGAATGGACTTAACACGATTAGATTGGAGCCACCCAGTAAGTGTACAGGGATCACACTCCCATGCCTGGCCCCTTAAAGGGTCTGGTGGTTTTTTGGTTTGTTTGTTTGTTTTCAGATTTTTGTCCACATCACATCCAGCCGTGGTACTCAGAGCTTGTGCTGAGCGATCAACTGCTGGAGGGCTCGGGGTGATGTCAGTGACCCACAGGTAGCTCAGGTGAAGCAGGGAGGAGAAAGGCGGTCACTTTCTCCTGGTCCGCCTCTGCTACCCGGGACCCAGGGTTACTGGACTCTTGTCTCACCTTGCAGAAAAGAATTTCAGGAGTAGACAAGCAGTGAGGTAAAACATTTTTTATTTGGAGGTTTTTAAGGGAAGGAAGGAGAGAAAGTGGGAGAGAGTGGAGAGAACCCGGGCTTCTTGAAGGGTAGAGAGAACCCCCATACACACATCTGAGCATTAGACAGGAAAGCATGAAAGTACACATCTCAAGAGAGGAGATGCGGGTGACACATGTGGGTAGCCACCACATGTGCTTGGTCACATGGGCTCAAGCAGCCCATGGGCTCTGGCAGCATAAGCACTCCCTTCCTTTGTTCAAGGTGGCTTTTGTAGGGTTTCTCCAACCTGCCCCCACGTGGGGCTTCTATCTAGGTAACAGTCTGTTGCTAAGGAGGTTACCAAGGGGTTGGGAGTGGTCTTCTTTGAAATTCCTTTCCTGGCCTTTTGTTTTCTGCTGGAGCTTCTCTGGTCTGATGGCAGGTGCCACATGAAGGTCTTGTCAGGCTTTAGTTCCTATTTTCTGTAAGCAAACTTACAGAAAATAGTTGCAAAGTTCCTTTGCAACTTCAGGGCTATTCCCAGGAAATTTACTGCCATTGCCTAGGGAGGGGGCCTTCCCTGCCTGCCTGCCTGCCTGCCTGCCTATATCAGGGGGACCATATGGGTCTATCCCACCCCTTTTCTGTTTTGTGTCTTTGTTTTCAAGATCTGTATCCTTAATCCCAGTAGATAGTTTATTCGTGTAAAGTAGCGATCAGTTTATGTGGAGATCAGGATGTGGATATCTGGCAGTTTTTTGACCACACCACTGACTTTGATTTGCAATTTCTTGCTGTACCCCTGTGGTCTGTTCTGTGTGACTGACAGCCGGGAGAATCTGACTTTGACCAGAGCTTGTCGTTTCTCTGTTCCCCTTCGGTTAGATTGCTCATTCGTTCCTGTGACCTGGGCAGCTCTGGGAAGTCACTTCTTCTTTAGGCTCTGCTTAAATGCCACTCTTTAAACAGGCATCCTAACTTCACGGAATTAGTAGCCCCTTTGCTTGTTTTGTTTTTCTTCCCATTATTTTCCGACCTTACTACTGACTACCGATTTGTTGTTTGCTCATCTCTTAGGATGAGAACAAGAATTGTTTGTTCCATTTTTTCACGGTTTGAGTTTCGATATCTAGAACATTAGATTGATAAGAACCCCCTTTCCCTGTCACTAAACTTTATTTTAAAACTATTTTAAATGTTGTTATTATCCACACGAGGCAGTGCTCAGGGCTTACTTCTGGCTTTGAGCTTAGGGATCACTCCCGGCAGGGCTTGGGAGACTGTACAGGGTGCTGGGGTTAGCAGCCAGTTCAGCTGGGTGCCAAGACAAGCCCTCTACCTGCTCTACTAATTGCTTCTGTCACACCGAACTTCAGTCTCATGATTTAGTCAGGACTGTTCATTAGTTTCCCAGTACTTTGCATATATCCTTTTCTCTGCCAAACATTTTTTCCTCTGATTTTTTTTTTGTTGTTGTTCTTATTCTGGTTATTTGCATCTGACCTTCAAAATCAACTTATATCCAACCTCCAACTTCTTTGTTTGAAATTTTCGTTAATTTGGGCCACACTTGGCCAGTACTCAGGACTTACTCCTGGTTCTGTGCTCATG